TGTCATGGGTTCACTATTTATAGTAATTTTTGGTAGATACATTGGGATCTGTGTACTACTTTTTGGATAAAGTAGCTTTTTGTGGGCGGTTTGGAGCAGTAGGTCCCACATGAATAATGACGGATCTTGTAGAGCTTGATGGTTGTGCGTAGGCACCTTGTCACCTGCTTAAGGAGGTGACGATCTCGGTTTAAGTAGACCTCGGTAGGTGTTGACCACTTCGGTCTTCGGTAATTCGGTCCGGTTCATCGCCTGGACCGGGGTGGTGTTAACATTACATCGGTTCAATGGTCATCTTCCTCTTAATATGATATTTGGAACCTCTTAATGGTGTTTTACCGAATCGGATGATAACAAGTGCAATATTGAAATTAGGTTCGTTAGCATTCTTTGTATTTTTATGGATATGTAGTGATGGATGTTAAAGTATTATGCAGATCAGTTTTTTAAATTTATATTGTGTAATATTTTAGCATTAGTAGTTTGACATTAATTGTGGAGTGTGGTAATAAAGTGCAATGTATTTTTTTAATAAAGTACAATGACTTGATTTATAATGTGCAACGTTCCTGGACATTAATTGTGGAGTGTGGTGATAAAGTGCAATGTATTTTTTAATAAAGTGCATCGTATTGCTTTATAAAGTGCAACATTCCTTGACATTAATTGTGGAGCGTGGTGATAGAATGCAATATTTTTTAATAAAGTGCAATGTGCTGCTTTATAAAGTGCAACGTTCCGTTATATAAAGCGCAATAAGTTTTATCTTCCTAAATAAATTACGTGTATTTTTAATAGATATAATTGTGAATCAAATTAACCTACATAATTAAAATATATTTTATTATTATTTTTTATTATACAAATATATTATTCTTATGTCATAACCTTTTTATTATTTAATATATAAGTATAACAAAAATATATAAAAAATATTATTATATATTTGGTTAATTCAGTCAGCTAACCGACTCGAACTGAAAAAAATAGTTTGTCCAGTATCATTTGTTAGTGTGTAATCATAGATATTAATTTACATTTCGTGCAACACTAATAATAATAATAATAATAATAATAATAATAATAATAATAATAATAATAATAATAATAATAATAATAATAATAATAATAATAATAGTAATAATAATTTTCATATTCTCTGATTGCTGCTAACAAAATTTTTGTCCAAAATCAATTTATTTATATTAAAATTAAATTTAATATACTAACAATATTATTTACTACTTTTATATGTTTTTGGTTGAAAATATGTGAGTTCTGCGATTTCGATATCTAATGTGCAATACAATAGTCGTGATAAAGTGCATCGTGTTGTTTTGTAAAGTGTAACATATTGTTTTATAAAGTGCAATGTGTTGATTTATAAAGTGAAAGACTATAATTTTTGTATGTTATTATGCTTGTATCTCGTGTGTATAAATGATGTTATTGATATTAAAGTATCATGTATATTTGTTTTTTAGTTTGATGTTGTGTGGTGTTTTGGAGGGTGATATTGACGTTAATTGTGGAGCGTGTTGATAAAGTGCAACGTGTTAGTTTATAAAGTGCAATGTGTTGTATTATAAAGTGCACCATATTAATATATAAAATGCACTATTTTATATGAGCACATATAAATTACGTGCTTTTTTAAAACTAGATTTAGTATTTATAATTTCAAGTCAACTTAATCTAAATAATATTGTGCATCTTAGTCATCATTATTGTGCATTTATCTAACCTTCATTATATTACATATTAGCCTTAATACTAAATTTAATTATATATATATAATTGCTGAATAACCATTAAAGAAAACATATTTAATTAGCACTTACCATATCTAAATTTAGTACACGTTTTACCACTTAATTTTAGTACGACTTTCTTTTGGTCCATCACTAAAAAATGAAAATGCCCAATCATGTTGATTTCAATTGGTTTTAAACAGGAATTTTATGCCAAACATGTTATAAGTTGGATATAACATTTACATATTTTTATATAAAATAATTAGGTGCTCCATTGTGATTGGATAAAAAATTGAAAATTTGAATTCCAGTATAACATACATACCCTCATGGCTATAATGCTATTGTAAGTATATTTTTCACATTGCATGTGTACCTTTTTGTCAAAAGTTTTTTGCAAGGGAATTAAAATTTAAAATTTGCATATGGGTCCTTTTAACAAGTCTAATTTCCAAAGAATGGCCCAACACAAAATCTGTACAATCACAGATGAAAAGAAGAAAAAAA